ATTCGTCGCCATTCCCAACCTGTGTATTAGCTCCCATTCTCTATTTTGTGTTGTTGTATTCCCCATCGTTGGTCTTGTTCTCCTTTATCTTCTTCATTCACTACATTGATGTTCCTATTTCCTGCTATCACTCTTGTTTGTCATCGTTGTCACTCCTGATCTCATTTGTGCGTTGTCGTCTCTCACATTTGTCTTCATAAAGTATGTGCTCTATTACCTTATTATGTTACTATTTTTGTTGTTTCTAATCAATTTTGTAGTTTTATTGTTTATGCTTTTTTTTTATATGTATTGGACGTGCCATTATGGTTATGTTTTTTGGATATGTAAAATCCCTAAACCCTAAACATGCTACTTTGGGCATGTTTTCTAAATCTGTATTTTCATTCTTCACGGCATGATAATAATTTTTGTTTGATTTTTTAACCCCTTAATGGCGTGTAGTACCTTGGTTTGGAAGGATGCCACCAGAATCAGATAAACAGGGGTGGAAGCTTGTTAGTGTGTTTGGTGGGTTTGATAAGGGAAGTGGTACAAAAAGATGGAAATGTAATAACATATTTGATTTCATAGGGAGAGTTGTTTATCTAAATTGTATAACATTGTTTTAACTACTCATAATTGTTGTAGATGAATTTTTCCAGATGAATAATTAAGTTAGGAATCATAACTAATTAATTAATGTAATTGGGGTTCCTTTTTGTTTGGGTGGATTTAAGGAAACACAGGACACCTCTCTTTGGGATATATGCTTCGATTCATACCTATGTTTCTTGCTGGTTTGACTATTCTGATGGCCTTATACGAGTATGATTTAGGGAGAAGTGAACAAAGATTTTAAGCTTGGGTGTTAGTGTAGTTGAAAAGTTCTTGGTTGTTGGATAAGTGAGAGATATTAGAGCCAAAACATATTTATTACATTACCTTAGCAACAAGCACCCATAGAGTTTTGAATGCTTCAGTTTGAAATAGAGATAATAACCTCGTTGTCCCCTTATAGCCTTGTGCATTGTTACCAAGCACCTTGTGAGTTTTCGAGCAACAATTATGTTTTTGAATGACACCACATACATATAGGACTAAATTAAATTATTGCATATTACATTTGATATTTATCTACTAGATATTAATATGAATTAATTTTTATAATTTATATGTATATATGTGCTTATGATTTATTGGGGTTACTTGATTTTATCTCACATTGAAGGATGATTGAGATATATCTCACTTCCTTTTTTATTGTTTCATATTTTTGTTTTTGTTGAAAGTTACTTGCAAGAGATGATCATCTAAATATTAGTGTTGATTATGAGACTTAAATCATTTATTTATATTTTAGGATTATGCTCTGATAAGGATTTAAAATTGGGGTTAAAGCGGACTTCTTGTTTACATTATAAATTATTTGTTTTATTTATAGATTTATACATATGATTTTTGGAGTGTCAAGTAATTTTGCCTTAATGTTCAAGTTTAATATTTTTATTTGTATTTTATTTGAATGAAAATTTCAATAGTATTGTGGAAGGGTCGAAATGAGAGCATTTTCAAAGACAAACTCTTTAAGGTGGATGGGATCGTGTTTATGGCACAGTTGAGATCGTGGGAGTGGTGTACAGCTGTTAGAATGGTGTCTTCTTCTTTTTCAGAATGGTTGATGAACCCATTATCCTGTGCAAGTGTCCCTTGAATTTGTTTTTTCTTATTTTTAGGTCATCTTGTTTTTAATTATGACTTGCATTTCTTGTACACAATTTTCTTGAAATTAATAAATTCTTGGCTTATAAAAAAAAAATTCAATAGTATTTAGTTTATATGGTTTATTTGAATGTGAATCCTCAACTACGTTTTAATTTATTATATTACGTTGTTTTCCTTAACATATAATTGGAAAATTATTTATTATATTATATTATATTACCTGGAGGAGTAGAAGGTGTGACGTTTAATGGTTTCAAAGTTTGGTTGGTTCATCCGTATGTGTACTCTGAGTTGGATTTTGTTGATTTGTTTGGTTGACTTGTTATTTGATGTGGTTTACTTTTTTGTGAATCAGAATAGTAATGATTGGTATAATAAAATTGATATAGTATGGATATTTTACGGGCCTTAGCAAAGGTTGTAGACAATCAATATTTTATAATAATTGATATAATAAAAAAATTTATTATTAAATTTAACTATAATATCAATTCATATACATTACAGATAAACACAAAAGTATTTTTAAAAACTATTTTTTCACAAGAGTGTTTGTAGGATTTATCAAATTTAATTTTTTATTTATCATTTATAAATTAAATCAACTTTAATTTTTATATATTAAACATAAATGACTATCTTATTTATGTGTATTTGCAGAAATTATTATTCTACCGAAGTGTTTTTTTAAAGATTATTCTAACACAATTAAGTTTTTATATATTATATTTATTTATGAATTAAATTTTAATATTTTAAAAATAAATTATCACTAATTAAAAATAATCATATCAGCTATTTTAATAGGTTTCGAACATTTTTTATTGGATAAAATAATATTTAAAATATAAATTGAATCTCGTATAAATTGACATCAAAGGTTAATTTTTTTTAATATTCCTTTTTCTTCTATTTTACAAACTTAATATACAACTCCTAATCAATAACCCAATTTTGATCCAGTAATCTTGTTCATACTATAAAAGAATAGAATCCCTATAAACACTAGAAGAAAAACCCAATTTTTAGTATTATAAATGAGATAACATATATAAAATTTCAACAGAATCTAGAAATATGAATTATAAAATTTAAATATTTAAATACAAAAAATTTGATTATCAGCATATTTGATTTTAAGGATTTTGGGTATTTTAAGCGTTCATCATATTTTCACGAAGTTTCCATATGCATATTCTAAATCGTTTACTTGAATTTTCTTCTATTTTGAACAAAATTTGTGTATCACTAGTAAAAAAGTCGATCACAATATATAAAATACGAATAATTATAATGCATTGAGAATAATTTTAAAGATCTTTTCTCGGTCAAATTTTTTTTACAATTAATTATTTTATTTTATATATAATTTATATTTTATTTATTATAATTATTTATCAATTATATTTTAATTTTAGTTTTTAAAAAATAAATTATTAATAAATAAAAATCATATTGCACCAAAATATAAATTATTTATCATAAATTTAAAATATAATTTATATTAATTTCTAAATATAAAACATGAATAACTATCTTGCACCAGAATAATTTTAGAAATTTTTCTTCTACAAGAGGAGTTCTTTCAATTTCATATTTAATTTGATTTTTATTAATCATAATTATTTATAAATCAAATTTTGATATTTTTAAAATAAATATTGATAAAAATAATCTTATGTTACAATATAAATTATTTATCACAAATCTAAAATGTAATTTATATATTTAAAAATATCTACTCATTAAATTTTTTAATATAATTTATATATTCAAAAGGAATTATTTAATACTAGAGTAAAAAAGATATTTCATATCTCCACGTAATTTTTATAAAAAATAAAATAATTGTAGTTATATATGTGTGAATGCTTAACAACATATAACTTAGGAAAGAGTAGAGAAAGAAAAAATAAATAAAAATTTTGAAAGAGAAAAACTGTTTTGACTGTCAAGCCACAAAATGCATAAAAAAGTGTCTTTATTAATATTAATCAACTTCTATATATTAAATACAAACTTTTATTTTAAACAAAAATATTTTATGAACTTTTCTTTGATAAATGGATTTTTGAATATTTTTTAAAATTTTTTATTTAATTTAAGTTTTATTGTATCACAGTATAAGTTTTTAAAAATTTTCAATAAATAAAAATAATATTATACTATATTATAAATTATTTATCATAAATTTAAAATAGAATGACGTGTTCAAAATATTTATTATAAATTCTAATTATATAAAATAAACATCTTTTTATATATTACACCATGTTAAAATACTAGTTAATATTGAAATGTTAAAATACTAGGTAATGTTAAAAGCCAAAATTAAGTATGACGAAATAATTTCACATCATTTCAAAATAATATTGTAGCAATGTTTATTTCAAAATATTATAAATTAAATTAAATTATTATTTAAATTTTTCTAAAATATTAAATATATATTTTATATTTCTGTATGTAGAAATAATCGTATAATATATATATATATATATATATATATATATATATATATTATCTTTGAATATAGATTTTTTGAAGATATAAATTATATTTTAGATTTATAATAAATAATTTAAATTGTAGCACAATATTATTTTTACTTTGATAATTTATTTTAAAATATTAAATTTAATTAATAAATAATCATGATAAATAAGAAATGAATTAGATAAGAGATTAAAAATATCTTTAAAAATATTTGAAGGAAAAATATCTAAAAATATACAAGATAGGGATTTTTATTTAATATATAAGAGATCGATAATTTATTTTATTGTAATAGAATATTTTTTTATTTATTTTAAAATATTAAAATTTAATTTATAAAAAATTATGATAAAATTTCTTAAAAATTTCTTTAAAAAATTTCGGTTGAATAAAAGCCCTTGCAATCACTCGGAAGTCGCAATGCAATTCCTATTCAATATACAAGAGCTAATATTATAAAAATAATTGTAATTAATACAGCTTAAAATCATCCAAGGTTTAATGGATTCATTATTTTATTTTTATCTAAAAAAAAATTAACTGCTCCCCGTATATTTGATTACTTGATTGTGGATTACACATAAAATATATATGTAATTAAATAAATCATTAGGCAAATCTTGATCTAAAAAGATATCGATGTGATCGATTAAATTAATTAATTATCTTTCCATATATCCATCAATCTCATAGAAACCGACGACAAACATCTCGTTCTTTATATAAAGAGAGGCACTGGTTGAAAGTTTTCAGATACTAAATTTTCAAGTTTGTTTTGCGTATCATCACGTTGAGAAGGAATGGAATCAGAGCACTACCACTATGGCGTGCAAAGTTTTAATGCTGAGGACACGACCCTTATGGCTGGTGACACCTTCAACTTCAGCGTTAGAGTTTCATCTTACTCAATGGACTCACATGCAGAACGTTTACTATACCAATCTCCATCTCAATGCATACCTTGCCACAGCTTTTTCCATGAGGGTCAACATTTGTTAAGAACACTTTTGTCACCCTTGCACTTGTCCAATGAAACTCTTGGGGAAATAACACAAGGGGCTATAGCCCTTGTTCAAGAAATGTTCCAAGTTGATCGTGAAGTTGTTCTTCCTCCTCCTCCTTTGGAATCTCAACACCGAGAGATCTCTTTATGCTTGGAAATTCTACGAATAGATGATGATGATGATGGTGATGATGTTGGTGCAGTGTTGGAGGAGTCCATGCAGTGTTTCAGAATGGTTCCTGCGTCCAATGAAGCCATTAAGACATCGTTGAAGAAATCCACGGTTATGGTTGAGGGTGAGGGTTGTTCTATATGCCTTGAAGAGATGGATGTCAATGATGAATGCTACACAATGCCATGCCATCATGGCTTTCATCCACAGTGTATTGTCACTTGGCTTAAAACTAGTCATATGTGTCCCTTGTGTCGCTTCCCTTTGCCAACCCTCAAGAACTAGCATAGAAATTCGATTATATTCCATGTGTAAATTTGGTTCAAAACTTGCGTCGTAATAATGATGGCTTATATTTGATTGGTGACTATATGTTAATATTGTTATCAATATTACGTAATGCAGTTTTGGTTATTTTGTTGAATGGGTTATTTTGGTTGTTATTAGCGTTAGGAATTTCAGAAAGGTGTAATCTGTGTGCAGAAAGTCTCTTTTTTGAGTTTTGTATGTTCATTTAAAACTCATTTAAATTTGCTCGTTTGAAAATTTGATGGCTTTTATATTGTATAAGAATAACCACATGGCTATTGAAAACTGGTAATATTTGTTTGGTACCTTTGGATGCCGAAAGAACCCCTTGAATTCCAAGATACCTGTTTGGCACCTTCAGGCACCAAAGTACTCACAAACTCAACCACACTCGGTATCTCCTATAGTACATCTATTTGGTGTCTTTGGAAAAAAAGGTGCCGAACGGGATAAGTAATCCTTCATTCACTCAAGTGTAATTAAAATGATTAAGCCTAATCACAATATGGAGGAGATTATCAATGTATTACCTAGTTGATCTTAAGTTGAGATTCATTCGAATTTGAACTCATCACAATTAGTATAAATAGTATCGTATATTAATGTAAATAAACTCTTTATAATATATTCGCATTTATTACACCAATTAAATTACTTACTTGAACGTGAAAGTATTTTTTACAAGTATATTTCTTTTGGCTTAACAAAGCAATCAGCTCAGAGAATGAGGAAAAGAGAAGGCATCAAAGAGAAAGAAGACGAGGTATATCTCGGTACAAGTACAATTTTGATCAATACTTTTTTCCAAACTTAAGGACATAACAACATATATATAATAATAATGGAATGAAACTCAAACATTAGTCTTAGTTTTCCTGTGCAATTGATTTCTCATGTTTTTTTTTTCACATCCAGTAATTGTAAAATTTGTTAATGTTACTGCCTTATGAAAGTTTCTGCAGGAAAATAAAGAGTAGACCTTATGTTTCAATTTGTACTTATTATTATACTATACTCTGACATGGTAAATTTTCTTGGACTTTGTGCGAAAACAGATATAACAATGTTTTAAGCTTTCATTTCAATCTTGTTTACTCGTGAATATCATATATATGCATGCCCTCCAACTATTGTTGATATAGTGGCTGTTGTTTGTACGTGAGTTTAAATATTCTCTATGTATATGATGATCCTTGTATTTCTTGTGTTGTTTGATTTTGTCTGTATGTGGTGTGTTTATATATAGACGACTGAATACATTGAAAATGTGTTTCAAAAGGGAGGTAAATTTGAATGAAACTCAATTGTATTATGTTTTTATTGAAGTGGGAAAGCATATCATAAAATGTAAAGGTAGATGTGCACTTAATTACTTGACATAGAAACCCCATTTAGGAGCTTGGTAACAACAATTACGAGTCTTAGCTTTTGTGAGTGCTTAAACTTATTGAGCCGAAATTGGGTTTAAGAATCATTATGGGATATGGGAGTCTTTCCAATAATAAATGTCCTTGAGTTCTAATGTAGTTTTATGTGCCCTCAATGCTGTTGTAAAATATAGAACTGTAGTTTCTAAAGATGTTCACATTTTGCTTAAATACAATTAGCTAAAGAGTATGTGTTTATATACTAAAGTGTTTCTATCACTTTTTAAAGGAAATGGATGGGTCATGGGCTCTTGCGCATGAGTATGGCATTGTGGGCATATCACAATGTAAATTTGTTGATTTACCTCATTGAGTGGAATGAGACTTAAGCCACTTGAAAGTAAATAAGGGATGGTAACTCAATCTTTGTAATTAGAGGTTTTATGAATAAGTTTTACATGGATAAGAAAATGTCACTTGCCAAGTCTACTAGCACTAAATTAATTTTAATCAATATTTAGTCTCTTTCTATGATGTGAAAAAGTGTTAAGAGTTGCATTAATGAAGTTAGGTTTTATAGTTTAACTTTAAAAGAGAGCTTGACATTTTACAAAATTTTTAATAATTTTCATTTCTCTTTTGGATGGTGAGTGATTTACGACGTATATTTGATAAAATCATCTATATGAGTGTTAAATGGGATCACTTGTATGAGATCTTAGTTAGATCATTAAAGTACTCATGAATATTAGGCAAACGTATGGTCTAGTAACGCAAAACAAGGATAATGGCAAAAAAAATGTGGGGGTTTAATGTGATTGGTAGATCGCTATTGTATATAGTGTTTTTGGTTCATATAGTTTTGTTATATCAATCTCACTAGCTATATGTTAACTCTAAGGGCAGTTCATATAGTTTGGTACACTAATGTATTACAACTTATATAAGAATCGATTATTCTTCTATCTTTTCTTTTATTTAATAAAAAAAGTAAATTATACTTGCACCCCTATGCTTTTTTGAAATTACACTCAACATCCTTTCGTTGCTTGGACATATAGTGAGACTTCTTAAAAGTTAAAAAAATGTTATATTGTCCCTAACTCACAATCAAGTATATTAATATATTTGTGTCATGTGTCTTGCACACGACTTATAATAATTTTTTATTTTAAAAATGACATTCACCTTCTACATTAAAAAGGGCATTTTGGAAGAAAAAATCATTAAAAATCATGTACTAATCACATGACACGAATATGTTAATAGACTTGATATTATTTGTGAATCAAAGGATATTACAACATGTTTTCAATTTTAAAGAAATTTCACAATAAATGCAAATAATAAGAATATCGGATGTAATATTGAAAAAACATAAGGAGTATCAAATGCAATTTCTAAAAAAATTAGAAAAATAATGTAGCATCTTTTTAGTTTTTAAGGAATTTCACTATCCATGCAAATAACATAAAAAGTATCGGATACAATTTAAAAAAAAAATAAATAAAGATTTTGCGAGTGTATAATTTATTTTATAAAATAATTTTCTTATCCTTTAAAATACATGGCAGATTATTGTAAAGTATAGAGGTGTGATATTTCAAGATACAAGAGTTATGCACTGCTTGTAACAACAATAAAAAGAATATGCTTATATACTAAAGTGTTGTTTGTAACACTTTCTTAAGAGACAAGCAATTTGTCAAATCCCGTATATGTGTGCAAATATGGGCTCCCAGAATATTTTTATTTTCGATTACATTATATTTAATTTTTATTTATTGATAATTCTTATCCGAACGTGACGGTTGTTTGGGCTAAATCTTTTGACTTGATTCTTCTTGTTCATTTTTTTGTTGAGATTACCGGCTTTTATTGAATTCTCAAATTATTATTTATTTATTAAATCATATTTGACTTGACCAAGTCTTTTTAACTGAGTTTGTTTGCTTCTGTTTTGAAAATGAGAGTTTTCTTTACAGTTGTATTTTTCCATGAATATCTCTATATTCTCAATCAGTTTTGGGAGCCAGCTTGACCTCCTTCGCTTATAAATAGTTGTGTCTACTTCACTTAAAAAATAAAAAAATAATAAAAAAACTCTTTCATTCTCAACTTTCTCTCATTTCTTTAACTACCATAAATTTAACTTGTGTAATCCAAACTAAAATTTATAATAAATAATATATTTAAATAAATATTATGTTTAAGTATATAATATTTTAAATTTATATAAATAGATATTTTAAAAGATATAAATTATATTTTAAATTTTTGATAAATAGTTTATGTTGTAGCATAATATTATTTTTATTTATTGATGATTTATTCTAAAAATATTAAAATTTAAAGAATAAATAGTTATGATAAATAATAACTGAATTAGATAAGAAGTTAAAAGTCTCATAAAAATGATATCATTGAGGAAAAGTCCCTAAAATTGTTTTCGTACAAGATAAAGGTTTGTGTTTAATATATATAGAAAGTTGATTTATTTATTAATAATTTATTTTAAAAATATTAAAATTTAACTCATAAATAATTATGATAAATAAAACTAAATTAGATAAGAAGTTAAAAAATTCCTGAAAATACTCTTATTAAAGAAAAGTACTCTCGTACAAAATAGAAGTTTGTGTTTAATATATAGGAATTGATATAGGTATACAAAAATATATTTAATTACACATAAAGATAAACATCTAACATGTTTTTACACTTTGTTTAAAGACTAATTACCATGATTGTAAATTCGTGAAGTAACATCTTATTTACATGAACTTAATGGAGTAGTTGGGAGGAAAACTAAATTCCTTAAGAAAATGATAAATACCTTGTTGATTTGTTCTTCAACTCCTGACAACTAATTAATGAGGGAGAAACCATTTTAACTGCATGTTTCCTACAAAATAAGATATCCCATTAGAGGACTAATAAAACACCCTACAAGTTATGGAAAAGGACCTAACCTAAAGCATTTGAGAGTATAGGGGTGCCTAGTTAAAGTTCTATCACTTGATCCTAGCTAAGAAAAGGAAAATAGGGCCTATGACTTTTGATTATATGTTCATTGTTTATGTTGAATGGTATTCCTATAGATTTCTTGTCATTAAAAATAGCTTGATTGATTGTAATATCATAGCAGAAATAAGGAATGTTGAATTCTTTAAAGATACCTTTCTTTTTGAGGTATAGTACTAGTTCTAGTCAACCTTTGCCATTAGAACCCTCTAGTAAATCTATCTTTGTGGCCTTAAGGAGAAGTGAAAGACAAAACAAAGAGTCATCTTTTGTGTATAATTTTTACACCTATCTAGTTGAGAATGATATTATGAGTTTCTCAGAAGCTATTAGTTATGTAGATGCAAAGTTTTGCGAAGAAGTTTTTCGGATTGAAATTGATTCTATTAAGAAAAATAATATCTAGACTTTAGTGGACTTACCTAAAGAAAAAAAAAACATTGGGATTTTTGGATCTTTAAGAGAAAGTAGAATCTCAAATCCATAGAGAAATACAAGACTAGAATATTAGCTAAAGAGTTTACTCAAAAGTAAGATATAGACTACTTTCATACTTAATTTCGTATTGTCAAGGTTCTCTATCTA